TTTTTTTTTTAATTAAACTAGAATTCCGCATACAGCTGTTCTTTTTTTCTTTTTCTTTTTTTTTTTTACTCAGTCATTTACGGATAAGCTAGCGTTAGTGCTGTTGGTAGTTGCACGACGTCACGTTGACATGAAACGAGTCCTCAAAGAGAGCAGACGGGCATCTGTTGCAAATGTAATCCCCCTGATGCCTGCTCCACAGGCCACAGAGATAAATTATTGCTCTGGGTCTTCTTCTTGATTAAAATACTATTGTCCATTTGATGTTCCTGTTATAAGTAGCCGACCCAAAGGACAGCCAGCGTTGTTTGGCGATCCGGCTGTTTTTCATTTGTGTATTGCTTCTTTTTCACAGTACTTTCTGTGCTTCTACTTCTTGAGCCCAGCTGCAGCATAATAGATGTACTAGTTCTCTTCAGTGACACATATCCGGAGTACAGATTAGACACAGTAGGTGATCCAGTATGGATGAATCCGCTGCTCTCTGGCCATTTCGGGCTGAGGCTTCACATCATTTTCTCCAATTTCAACTCACCTTCTGTTCTGAAGCCTTTCTTTAAATAGCGACAAAATTCATATTTAATATGCTTGCGTAACCAGTTAAAATTCATTCACACAACAGTGGGGGAGGGTGGGGGCAGGTTCAGTCTACAAACCGAACATCAGGTTACAGGTTTTTCTGTTCAGTAGTCTTAATGAATTGGAAACTGTTTTAGGTGGATTTGAAGACCAAATACATTCTTTCACTATTTTTGGAGAATCAGGACGGGCCAATATCATCTTGCAATACTTTTAGCATGTCGGCTTGTTTACGTCTTTTCAACCTGCTTTTCTCAGCCAAGTGTGCTCAAGCTTGTCTTGCACCGCTCTCCTCACAGCGCCGTTGCTGTGAGCTCCCAGCCAGAGATGACGGTATCACACTTGAGAGCTGAAGAGAACAATTAGGCCATATCAGAAGACTGGAGTGCTGCCAGTCGTCGAACTGTTTGCAATAGCTCCAGTAATCTGTGGCTGTAGTTGGCACCCGGCCATGGCCAGCCACAGAGCCTCTTCAGACACTTAAAAGTCACAAAGGGCATGGGCATGCCTTAAAAGCCTCTGCTTTCATCCACGTCATATTTGGGCAATGTGTGAAAACTGGAGGAGAGAAATCAACTAATAAGGAGGGCGAGGGAAATATTTAAGTCTTTAATGAGGGCAGAATGGGGTTATATCAACACTGTGTATCAAAATGATTGTGGCCCACCTACTGCAAAATGATGGGTGGCCCGTTTTGGTTCTTTTCTGCCATCTAGTCTACATTCGGAAATGTTTGTTTTGCACCTACAGGTACATTTGAGCCTGCAAGCTGGATCGTGGATGTCAGCAGATAGGGGCGTTAAAGGCAGCCCAAAGAGGGATTGAATACTTTTGATTTGAGTTGTCAAGGCTCAGCTGTTCGTTTTTTTTTAGCCAGTCTCTGTGATCGCAACGTGTCTTGACAGGCACCTTGCTCAATCCTCTCAACGTACTGTGAATGTAGGAATGTGAGAGGCAAAAGAACCCCCCCCCCCCGGCCCCTCCAACATGTAGTGTGTTTTTAATTGGAAAGCCATTGTAATATTTACCCTCTGTTCTTCCCCTTTGCCGCTATTAGTTTGAATTATCCACCATTGCATTGTTATTGCCTTTAGCATGTACCCATGTGTCAATTTTGTAATAAGGTCCTATTATAAATCATCAAAACAGGTCAGTGATAGCAGCTTCACAGGAAGCTTCAAATGCCAGTATTTTCCTACATATGATCACTTCATTTCATTTTATTTTGAAAGGGTCCGTTGACTTTGTGACCTTTTTTTTCAAACAATCAGACTGTCCCACACTTGAAAAAAATAATACATCTCTTATTGATGAACTTTGATGATTCATGAACAATCTGTTTATTGAGAGGTAAGGTCGCGTGACATTGACTGAGCAGTGAGCCACTGTGCTCCACGGAACATTGAATGAAATATCAGCTCTCTGTTGTCATGGTGATGTAGATATCAGCATAAAGACTCCGAAAATGAAGTTGTTATACCAACTTGTGTGTTATTTTGAGCTCTGGGTTTTTACGCAACGGTCTGACTCGCTTGGGATTGTTGCTGAATTTTTCTCCACTCTCCTTTCTGCTTCCTCTGATGACTTCTGGAGAAATGCTAATGATGAGCGTCTCATCCTGACTCCGCTGTGGAGCTCTGTGCATTTTCAAAACTGACTCACCTGCTTCTCCTAAAAGTCCCTGTGAAAAATGGGAAAATATACTTGGCACCTTGAATGAAGAGAAAACAAACAAACAAACAAACAGTTTTTGACCAGTTTCCTCTCGGAGGAGCCACAGTTTACACGAACGTAAGCATAAGTGACTCATGGCTGTTATTTACTCTGTAGTCAACCCATGAATCGTATTTGTATTTTTTTCGGTACTGGTTGCCACTCACCAGCATTGTGATTCTCTGTTCTGATATTCACTATAAAAGCACAACTGTCACACAACACAGGACAGTGTTGCGTGTGTTTCATCATAATCACACTTTTGCGGTGATTTTGGAGGATGCTTTTATCCTTTGCAACAAGCCATATCCTCTCAATCATCCATTTATATGAAACATCCAAGACTGCAACAGCAGAGCACAAATTGGCAAATTTCCTCTGCGCATTCATACCAAACAACAGAGGCTAGGAGCGAGGGGAAGAAGCATTGTTTGGGAATAAGAGGTGTTTGTATAGAGTTTGGAGGCGGCGAACAGGGAAATCTGCAATGGGCTGCAGGAGAGATTGCTCCTAATTTGTTTATTCCAGCTGTCATTCTCTACATTGACATCGGTTGACAGGCTCAGGCTGCGTCGAACAACACAGATGCAGTCTTGCGCCCCATTTCAATTGGTTTGTGTTTGTGTATGTTGGCATGAATGAAACCTGGATGACGGCCACTCTCGCCTTGGATGCCGCAACAACTTTCAAAAAGTAATTTTAGGACACTTTCCGATGGTTTTTCTTTGCCCTTCCATCCTCGAGTGTGAAGGCAGGAAATGAAGAGAACACTTTCCCCTCTGGCTCCAGTTTCACTCTGGCGAGCAAGAATTAACAAGCAAATGCAGACATGCATTTGTTTTACCGTGAGATATTTTGTTGCAGCGCTTTGCGAACATGCTTTGATTCATGTGAATCTGAAAGATGACTATCTGAGAGGGTGTTGCCATTTTTGGATAAATGTTCTGCTTTCATCCAAATGAAAGGGATTGGAGGGAGTATGAGAGGATGAATGGGACCGAACACGATCCACCTTCCAGTCTGTTATCCCCATAGAAGTTGAAACTGGCTGGGAATCTGTCAGCTGAGTGCCTCCCCAAAGCCCCCCGCGAACCCCCTGCTGAGACCTACAATGGCAGATTGGCAACTGTAATACCACAGCCCTTTTTATCTGCCTGAATTAAAACTCAATTGGAAAGGGGTTGTGGGAATTGCTGGCTCACGGAGAGCTCTTTATTTATTTGTTTATTTGAGCAGGAATTATGTGTGTGGGCGCATTTTCGGGTGGAAAAAAAAATGTAATTGGAGGGATAGAAGCTCGAGGGGTATCAGTCAAAGGATTAAACACTGAACTAATACAGCCTGATGCAGAGCTGTTGTTTGGCCTTTATTAAGAAGGATGTGTGTTTGTTTTCAAAAGGATGAGGTCTGTGTGTGTGTATGCGCTCACAGGAAGTGCTCATGAGGCAAGCAGGATGTGCAGGGAAACGTTGGGCTGAGTTGAGTTGGCAGCGAGCTTGCTGCGCTGAGAAAGGCACAACACAGGGATGTAAAGATTCACCCTCTTTTACAAAATGCCCCTGGACAAAAAAAAGCAAACATGCGCGCGCAAGTCATGAAGTGTGTTTTGGAATCGGACATCTAACTGCTTTAATTCAGAGAGTCTAACAGCAGGCTAGACCCGATTTCGCCACTGAACGCAGGCCGGCTGCGAGAAGAACTGCTCCGCCGCTGTGGGAGTGGTCAAAGCCTCCTTAAATCATAGCCCATCAAAAAGGCTCCTTTCATTCCTTTTAAATGAAACCCACTAGTAGCACTCCAGAGTCTCAATGTGGCATAAGCCCATCAGTGCCGTGAATCGGCACATGGCGAACACCCATCATCACGGATCATTCTTGTGTCGATGGTCCAACACACTTGAGCTGATAAAGTGAGTGAACAAGGACAAGGATGGAAAGGAAGTTTTTCAGGAGGCTGAAAAAAAAAGATACTGAGTGAAAGGCATTGCTGAAAGATGACATGAGCAGGGGGCGACGGGACGTTGTTATCAGTGCACATATGACCCTATCACCAAATTCGCTGTTCTTGCCTCTTCCGTATCTTGCTTGTTGACAGCTGATGGGATGAGGGTTCTCAAGAGTAGGACTTTTCTCTTTGAGGCAGAGACAGAGAGAGAGAGAGAGAGAGAGAGAGAGCGAGAGAGAGAGAGAGAGAGTTCTTGCTTGCTATTGAGCTAGCTATATTTCATTCATTCTTGTTTCGTTGATTCACTGAGAGGTATTCGGTACTTTATTGGTCAGATGTGAGAAATAGAGACTGTCTTGTTACCATTCTGCACTAAAACAGAGAGTAAGGGTGCTAAACATTTGTATAAGTGACACTTGTTGCAATTACGTTCCACTCGGGGACATTTTAGAAGGTGTCGGAGGGCTAAAACTATTTTTTAAATAAGATTTTTATATGGTCTCTCTTCAGTGTGGGTTTTCCCCATTTGCAAGTGGGTATGTACAGTAGTATACCACCCCACAATAAATGGAGTGTCACTGTCATGTTCTTTTTCTCTGTTCGGCCTTTTTCAACTTTTTGGTCCAGTCTTTTTGTATTGGTTCTCCAATGGTGAAATGCTGTCAATGTTTTTATTGATCAACCTTTTAGGATTTGTTGTGATACGTTCATGTCTGTTGTGTCGTTAATCGTGATGGAGTGATTGTCATTTCCTCTGTGAACAGACTCATCAGGTCAGATGGGCTCTTCACCCCTGGGCTCACCCACTTCCCATCGAGGAATGCACCCATCTTTGCTCAGTCCAACCAGCATGGGGCCCTCCGGGTCTCTTCACTCTCCCATCAGCACGTTGAGCTCGCCCATGAACGGCCTGGCCTCGCCCTTCTCTGTCATCAGCTCGCCCATGGGCCCCCACTCCATGACCTCGCCCGGCATGGGCTACGGCCCCAGCGTCAGCCCTCAGGTGAGTCCTGGAACAGACACTGACGCATGCATACATGCGCTGCTGCTTGCCACTGTAAACTTGGAATGAAGTCAGAGTTTAAGGATGTGCTTTTTGCATTTAGTCGAAAATGCTAGACGCGTGCACACAAAGTTTCTTTATTCATACATTTATTTCACAATTTTCATTCCTTTTTCTTATTGTCAGGTTGGAAAAAAAAACTACAGCTGTCCCATTAATTCAAATTTTATTGATGTGTCTCAGAAATGCAAATTGCACATTGCTGACTGTGACACACACTTAATTCTCCTAAGTAAGCCCCATCAGACTGAGGCTCTGCTTTGACCCCGTGCCACAGTTAATCAAGGCCTATTCAACTTGGAATCCATAGTAGTATTTTAGCTCTGTCACTCTTCTGCCGTATCAGAGACGCATTTGTCACTGTCTGGCTCCACACATTGCCTCTATCTATCTAATCTTCTTCAGTACTCTCTGCGGTCGTCTTTTTTTCCCCCCCTTCATCTATTTTGCATCATCTTCCCCGTTCTGTCATTTTCGTTCATCAATGTGCGCTACTAGTTTCTTTGGAATTAAAACGCACACACATACTTGCCTATACTAGGGCACGCACACTCTCACACACATACACAATTAAGACATCAAAGTCTGCATTGGCCCAATTTCCGCCTTGAGCCATATCTAAAATTGAATGTTTCTTTTAAAATGCAGTTGCTGCCCTTTTTTGTGCTTGCTAATAATTGTGCAATGTGAAACTATTTCAATGGACTATTCACACAATTGGAGGGCTTATCGCTCCCTTCTGAGTTTCAAACTAGTCTGGACTATGGTTATGGTAACATTTTTTTCCTTTAATTGCTAGAGAGTCGATTTTCAAGCATATATTAATACTTTAAAACTCTCTCTCTCTCTCTCTCTCTCTCTCGTCAGTGAAAAATAAAAGAAAAAAAGCTGTCTATGCAAGCATTTGATACAGCCCTTCAAACCTCCAAACATGCACAAAATATTCCATCATTGCATTATTTATATTGATATAATATATCTATATCTATATCTATATATATATAGAGATAGATATAGATATATATATATAGACACACACACACACACACACGCACACACGCACACACACTCACAGTGCAGAGTTGCAGGGTTCGATTCTGGCTCCGACCTTCCTGCGTAGAGTTTGCATGTTCTCCCCGTCCCTGCAGGGGTTTTCTCTGGGTACTCCAGTTTCTTCGCACATTCCAAAATCATGCATGGCAGGTTAATGGAACACTCTAAATTGTCCCGAGGTGTGCGTGTGAGCGCGGAAAGTTGTTTGTCTGTGTGTGACCTGCGATTGTCTGGCAAGCAGTTCAGGGTGTCCCCCGCCTACTACCCGCCGGGATAGGCTCCACCACGCCTGTGACGCTCGTGAGGTTAGGCGGAGTACAAAATGGATCTATCGATCTGTCGATGATTGTTTTTTTTTCTAAATGGACTTTGTAGCTGTCTGCCGTGGTGAAGGAGTTGAGTCAAAAGGCAAAGCTCTCAATTTACCGGTCCATCTCCGTTCCGATCCTAACCTGTGGTCACAAGCTATGGGTTGTGACCAAAAGAACGAGATCCTGGATACAAGTGACCAAAAAAGGTTTCTTCCGCAGTGTGTCTGGGCTTTCCCTTAGAGATAAGGTGAGAAGCTCGGTCATCTGGAAGAGGGTTAGAGTCAAGCCACTTCTACACATCGAGAGGAGCCAGATGATGTGGCTCGGCATCTGATTAGGATGCGTCCTGTACGCCTCTTTAATGAGGTGATCCGGGCATGTCCCCCCGGCATGAGGCCCCGGGGTTGGCCAAGGTCATGCTGGAGAGTTTATGTCTCCCGACTGACCTGGTAATGCCTTCGGATCCCCCAGGAAGAGCTGGAAGAAGTGGCTGGGGAAAGGGAAGTCCAGGATTCTCTGCTAAAGCTGTTGCACCCATGACCCAACCCTGGATAAACGGTGGAAAATGGATGGATGGATGGACATTCTCATAACATGTTTTCAGGTTCCGTGATGCCAAGAATGCAGGAATAGGAAAGTACAAACAAATGTCTTATTTTTAAACGGACTGTTTTTTTCCTGCACATGAAATTTAAAATGAATGTGTTGAAGTCCCGGCCCTATTATTGCAAGAAGACCGATGCATTCATTAGCATGCATCACGCATTCAAATTCTGCAAAGTCCTCTCTCTGACACAATGGGCGATGTCTAATGTTTGATGATTTGAGCCTTTAATCCATGAATGTTTGCATATCTTAGACTACTGTAGCTGTTCGGTGTTGCATTTTGCGGGTGGAGAACATCAATTTGATGTGAGAATGTCATTCTGAGGGTTGAGATGTTGGCGACATACACGTCTCTGGTCATGCAGAGTGATGCGACATGGGAGAATGAATTGCATCAGGCGATCACTGCTATTTGATCACAACACTCGCCTGACTACTGTTCTGCGAGTTAACTGGAGCAAAGTCACACAAACGGGGTCTGTATTCTTCCATAACCCCTACAGCAGCGTCCTGTGAAACTGCCCCCAAATGCTTACCGCATATAGACAGTTCTCATGAGAATTTTAGGAAGCTTACTCAAGAAAAGTAATGCGCTGTAATTGAGAGAGACTTTGCGGCTGGACAAAATAACAATTGTAATATTGTATCGGATCTCACATGTTCAGTCATAAGATTTGCTGTTGAGGAGGTAAATGAATGTTATAAGTGATTCCATCAGTACTGATGGAAAGTCCATTTTTTCAAGGAAAAAGCAAACTTTTTAAAAAAATGATGGACAAAGCATTGACGGAAGTGGGTTTTTGTCCGTCATTGTCAACGCCGCTAACCCGATCATGTATCGCCGGACTTCTCAGTCCGTCGCTGCCCGTTTCACTGATGACGGATGGACACACGGCCACCTGTGGGGGCTAAGCGCACTGCATTGACTATGTCTGTGAGATTATGTATGTGTGTTTATTTACATACAGACCTGATGATTATGTTTTTTTTTTTGTTGAATCTTGGTGAAGTTATTTATTTCAAGATTATTATGCAAACAGTTACTTCCGATTAGGAGCAGGCAATTACTTACTTCTTGTTTTGGGTCATACGCTGGTGAGAGACTCCGAGAGAGAGATTGCATCGTTATTTCACGTCGTGTCTCATTTCGGATTTATCCACTAATAGGTTACAACAGGGGCCCCCAACCTTTTTTGCCCCACGGACCGGTTTATGTCAGACAATATTTTCAGGGACTGGCATTTAAGGTGTGGCGGAAATAATACAACAAAATAATATGGTATGAGCTGCATGAAAACTGGCGTTTTCGAAATATAATAATAAACACAAGGAGCGTCTAATCTGGCCGCAACACTCCGATCGCTATGGCAATGTTTAATGCCTTCAAAATACGATACAACGCAAATTCAAAGTGCATGAAAATGACCACTCACCACAGCACCGAGCTTGATTTTCTGCAACCAGACGGTCCCATCTCGGGGTAATAGGAGACAATGACACCTCAAGTGTGTGGTTTATGTCCAGTCTACTTCGAAATTTTGTTTTCGTCGCCGTTGCAGCAGAAAGCCCCCGCCTCACACAGGTAGGATGTTGGAAATAGCAACAGTGCTATTGTGGCGATCTCAGAGTATTCAGCCATAACTTTAATCCAGTTGTCTCGAACGTACTTTTAAGGCCGCCGTCATTTGCGATCTCCAGCAGTTTTTTTTTTACTCATTTTGCGAGCTCCTGCGTTTTGTTTTGAAGTAATCGGCCACGTGATGGAGAAGCGTGGCTTGACGTGTGTCAAGCGTGACACAG